TGAGAGATGAAGAAAGACAGTTCTGATAAAAGTGGGTGTGGGGCCCAGAGCCTGGAAATTTCAGGCAGCCACAGCCATACTGCTGTATTGTTGAGCACTACACCAAAACGACACCAGAGGGAGCAGAAAAGGAGGAAAGGACACTGAACGACAAGTCAAGCTGAAAGTTAGAAAAGGGACAAGGAAGTGGGTTACACTGGGAAGGAAGGAGTTGCCTCTGGCTTGAGTGAAACTATGAATTCCACAGCCCTGCCCCCAGTCTGGCTGCTGCCGCCCCTGGCTCACCTGGTCACTTGTGGTGAGGCAAGACAAGTAAGGCAGAATCTCCAGAACATGAACATGGTAAAAATTGCGGTAATGGTGGCGGATATACTCGTAAGTCTTCTCCTCAGCAAACGTCATCCCTCTCTGGGTTCTGAAGTGATGGAGGGCTCTAGCTCAATGGACTGAGGAAAAAAGACTGGAAGAAAACAGACTGCACATGACAACCAGACTGGAAGAGGGATTGGACAAAAGGCAATTCTTCCTTTCTCAACTCTGGAATTGTGGCTTTTCTTTTCAATCATCCTATTTTATTGTTGCCTGTGTCCCAGAGGCCCTCAAGGAATTTGCTTAAAAACAAATTGATGACCAAAAAGAATCAGATCCAGAAGATCTAGGGTCCATTTTTGCCCTGCAAGTTGGTCAAGGGGAGGGTCTGGCTCCTCGCCATCATCCCCAAGTGTGTGTGTGCCCCTAGCAGCTGATAGCAGGAGGGCTCCACCTAGAAGTGCTGCTTCTTTGAGGTATACTGGGAGAAAAAGCAGCAGCAGCCCAACATGATAATAATAGGACCCATCCTACTAGAAAGGTAAAGAAAATGCAGTATTAAGAAGGGGGCTTGCTAGTTAGTGGAAGAGCAAAGAATTGAGGTCTTTGGGATCCAGGATGAGGTTCTTTCCAGAACATTACTGCAGGCCCACCATTTAAAGCTTGCTACATGCATGTTCTGAGGGTAGGAGGCTTGGTTCCACTGCCCTGAACTCACTGTTGACCTGGGGCAAGTTACCAGTCTTTTCCACGCTTATCCTCACCCCTAAAATGGCTCAGAGAGCTTGTTCTGACAATACAGTAGTTCTGCCTTATAAGCTTGAAATTTACAAGTGCCCCAAATACAAGCAATTACTGCCAGTCGCTTACACAGTACTTACCACAATGTGCAATTATAGATGCATTTGTTTGTTCATTTCTTATTTGCCTCCCCCTGGGGAGAGCTGCAGGGAATGAGACAAGATCTCTCCCCTCATCCAATTTACATTATATTTTGTGAAACGGATAACAAACCAGGAAATGTATACATAAGAATCCCAGCTAGTAATAAAAGTTACAAAAGCAAAGCAGGGTAATGAGACAGCCAGTGCAGAATGGCACGCTGCTTGAACTGGGACGATCAGAGGCAGCTTTCTGAATTGACCACTTGAGCTGAGCCATTCTTGGCTGTGAGATGGGTGTTCCCAGCAGAGGGCACAGCAAGTGAGAATTCCTAAGGTGGGAACAAGCTTGGCATGTCTGAAGAACAGGAAGCAGGTCTAGGTGGTCTGGTTTAGAAAGCTAGGGGGAGAGGCAGAGATCAAGGTCGAGGAGGTTGGGAGGGGTTGCTCACATATAGCAATATAGGAAAGGATGTTGGGTTTTATTTGGAGCGAAACAGGGAGCCACTGGTGGGTTCTGAGCAGGGAAGGGAGAGGATCTGATTTATGTTATGTTAAAGACCTCTCTGGCGGTAGTGAGGACCTTGGACTGTGGAGGGGCCAGGCTGGAAGCAAGGAGACAAGTCAGGAGGCCACAAGAGGAGACTACATGGTGGGTATGGCTGGGATGGTAACGATGGAAGTGGCGAGAGATGGATTCCTGGTGTTTTGTGGATTTGGGGGGTGAGGGAGAGAGAATAATCATAGATGGTGCCATAAAGCCAGCCAGGGAATTCAGGGGGAGGAGCAGCGTCAGGAGTCTCCAGAGCTCCATTTTGAGCAAGTGAAGCTTGAGATGCTATTGGATGTCCAAGTGGGTTTTCAGGGAGGGAAGGGGGCAGTGGAGAAGGCCAGGATGGAGTAGAAACATGGATGTCAGGCTTGAGGGGGACCTCAGGAGACAGTGCTGCAGAGCAGAGTACCCCAAAGCTGCTGAGACCACCAGTCCCTCACCACATGGGAAACAGGGCAGCAGTCAAGTCAAACTGCCTCACCACCTCACATCGCGTGACTTGCTTTTCCAATCAGGTGCTACATTCCTGGTGAGACAAGTACTAATGACAGAGGTCAAAAGGATCAGGGGAGTGGAGCAGGGGTCTTCAGGAAACTTGAGGAGATGAGCAAAGAACAAGTCTGTGGTAGTTAACAGACCCTTTCTTCTTCCCTTCCATGGCAACCAGGGAGGTACCAGGAGAGAGTCAGGTGATACATTCTTCTGCATCCCAGCCTCAGCCCTTAAGACTCAGAGTCTAGGGGGCGTGAGTTCATAATATGTATGATCTCACCAAAGAGAAAGGAAGTCCAAACATACTGACAGCTGTCAGAGGGGGGAGTGGGGTTGTGGGGCTGGGTGAAAACGATGAAGGGATTAAGCAAAACAAAAACAAAAAAAACCCTCATAGACACAGACACAGTATGGTGATCACCAGAGAGAAAGGGGGGTGAGGGGAGGTAGAAGAGGGTAAAGGGGGGATAAACTGTGACAGAAGGAGACTTGACTGGGGGTGGTGAACACACAATACAACATACAGATGATGTATTATAGAATTTACACCTGAAACCTATATAATTTTATTAACCAATGTCAACCCAATAAATTCAATAAAAAATAAATAAATAAAGAGATATGTAACAAGGCCAGAATAATTTTAAAAAATTAAAAAGACGAATACTGGAGCAAGAAGAGACCAAAGACACTGAATGGAGAGCTAACAAACAGTACAGATGGGAAGAGAACTGCACAAGGATCGACATCCGTGACAAAGTCATTTCACAAATTAGTGATTAAATTGTTTAGAAGACATTATGCATAAAACTAGCTCCCTATGAGAAAATAATATTAGATCCCAATCTTACACAATGGATAACAGAAAACTCCAAATGAATTAAAGTCCTAAATATAAAGGGTAAATTATAAAGAAAAGAGTAAATGTAGAAAGAACTTCTAACAAAATATTTAAGGATCTTAAGCACAGCCCTATGTTCATTCCCAAATATTCCAAATAAAAATTAAGCAAAAAAAAAAAAAAAAAAAAAAAAAAGGAAGTCCATATTTGTTCACATTTATTGAGGGTCCACTACAAGCAGACACATCCTGAATTTCTTTCATTTAATCCTTGCCGCAAAGCCATGCGAGAACTGATGCCAAATTGCACAGCTGACCAGTGGCGTGGACAGGATTTGAACCCACGACTTGCTGCCTCACTGCAGCTCACCATACACCTTGACCCAAACAGCTCC